TTAACTCAATTTTGAATCTTATAACAGATACCTATAGAGTATGGCCAAAATATTTTTGCCAATGAAAAGACCTAACTTACTAATTTCACACTAATGCAGCAAAAAATGCAAGCGGACAAAAACGCTAATTCGATGTATCAACTTGAATTCAATGCTACGAAACATCCAATTTACGACATCCTGTTTAAGAGATCAAATCTGAATAATTGCAGTGTTCACGACAGGCTTTAGACCTGTCTGAATTACCCGTACACCAGATCAGCGATCGTAGGCAATCATTTTGATCTAGATAATAGCTATAGCAAACACTATATTTTGAATGCAAATTCGGAAATACCCGAATAATATTTGTGATTGTAAATTACATTATGTAAAATAGGAACTAAATATTTTGATGAAAGTGTTAGACGAAAACGAAAGTATAGGTAACTATTGTTTGCACAACATCATCGCTACGCTGAGTAAATGGGGCAATAAATTAACCTGGACGCGTCCCGTGACTCACCGGTTCGAGCTATAATGTCGGCAATGGTATTTCCTGTGGCGGCCTTTTATTCATAACACAATCTATTTTGACAATCGCACGAAACTAATGTATCAAATTAATATATAAATTATAGGGAAAATCCTATTTAAATCAAATCGCTAATAGGTACACTGAACGTTATATCAATATTTTAATTATTATGCTAAATACATATTTAATCAAACCATTACTTGATAACGTATGGTGAATATCTAAAAGTAAATTATAATTTATTCAAGCATGCATACACATACAATTATATCTGTCATAAATGACTCATTTCTTGTCCTAGCGATAAAATTTATTAATCCTCTTGTTAAAATAAAAAGAAAGACATTGACCGCAATTTAAATAAACTATATCAGATAATATTGAACAAAGGTTAAGAGGGATACAATGCACGCTACCTGCCTGTCACTTATTTGTTTAGGCTTCTACATCTCAAAACCAGTAGCCGTACGTAGATACATGTATATTGTATATACAAACGCGGTATACGGATATTCTTGCTGCACAAGATTGCTTTTTGCTACTTTTTTACCTTGAACGTCCAGTTGTGCTAGACTACTTGGTTAGGGCTGTCGGCTTTTAAAATTGTTATTGGTAATAATCACTGTGTAGTTTGTGATAGTTGGAGCTGTATTTATATTTAACCTTAAATATTTAATTTATTTGATTGCGCCGGAAGAAAAAGTAGTTGTACTGTCGATCGCGTAACGTGGCGTAGGTATTCGCAACAAGCAAGCGTTTTGACATCGAATTGCCTTTCACTTGACCTAGATATTTGGGAACTGGTTCGTAATGCAAGCGAGTGGCATTCCCGTTTCGCTATCTAGTTGATACTACAACAATAATACTGTTTGCTACCAAATTTGCCTGAATGAACTTATATATAACTCTATTATATTTAATAGCTTGTTATGAGCGGCACTACGAGTTCCATTATTTATGTGTATTTATAAATTCGAACGAGTTATTAAATCTAAACTAATTACATCTAAAAAAATAACAACTATAGTAACCCTGTGCCATAATGGAAAAAAATATTAGTATGCGATAGAACGAGGCGAGTAACCTGTTTGGTTGCGGAGCTCAGTCGCCGCCTACGCCTGACAAATCCGCGCCCGTTTTTTCAATCCCTCCTTCCCCCCTTACAATCACTACACACCTACCGAGGAGATTACGTGCGGCGGCTGTAGCGAGCACGGGACGCTCACACGCACGATCAAGTTTAGACTTGTTTGGGAGCTATACGTCATCAAACCAGTCTCGAACTCGTCAAATTGTTAGAAATACTTGTGAAATTGTCCGCGTTTAAAATATCTTCAGAAAAATACAAGAGTGGACACAGAAAACGCGTAGGCAACGTCTATCGTCGTCTGACTCATCTCATTACAACTTTACACTGTACGTCACTCCTCTTTTTACTTGGAAGCGACTTTCCGCATGCAATGAACATAATTGTTTCAGCAGAATCCAAAAATGACAACTTAATATTATAAGGATTGTTTCGAATCTTGGAGGCTGGTCAAAAATGTTATGAAATTTTTGAGTCGTGACCACTGCGACGCACTTAGGAGACTTGGGAAATATCAAAATTGGCATTTACAGTCTTTGACGTCCTCACGAATCTTTTGTATAGCACATTCGGTACGATTACGAGGCAGTATAAAATGCAGCCATTTTCGTTGCACCAAAAAATTACGACCGTTTTAGTTCTTAAAATGTAGTGAATAGTGATATTTATAAAATATTTATTTTTGTCATAAAAAAATTAAATTATATATTCTGTTTGTCAGGAATATAGAAATGTGAGGGATGCGTGATATGAGAAATTTTCCTCTCCAAATAAGACATTCATATTTTCTGTATACAATATACATATTTTTATATTTTTTGTTACTATAAAGATTCAAGCCAAGTAGAAAAACGACGGATGTTTGCCCATCAGGTGCGGCCTTCGATGCGCGTGCGCAGCATTCGGTGCATTTTTTGATACGATATGCTGTCGTCAGGCAAAGCATATCTTGTGCTCTTTCTCAATACTCTACTTGGTTATAACATATTTAAAAAGAATTACTAATATGAAACTCAAAATGCCTCATTTTTTCAAGTGTTTGTAAACAAAAATGTGAGAGGTGGTAATGTTTGTAAAAATGTGATAATTATTGGAATTAGCTTACTCTTGTTCGTATAAAAATATTGTGAATACTAATGAATATTAACAAAATGATATGAATAATATGAAACGACGTTCGAATTCGGACGAGTCGTGCCGAGCAGATATTTAGGGCGCCAAAAATAACCGAGGCATTTCGACAACACAATCAACAGCACGCAGAATGTGTTATGTCATATTGTTACTAGATAAGCCAGAAACTCAACAAAGTATAAAAAATATCGCGATATTTAACATAGGTACAGTAAATTTATGAGTACATTACACGGAAATACATCAACTAAATCGTATTATAGTTGTAATGTACATTCTGTTAGGCTGAGTGATAAAGGTTGATAATGTCCAAGGCAGCGATAATGTGAGTTTGAATAGAAGCGTCGCGGCCACTCTCTGCGCACGCGCACCGTCTTCAAGGCCATTTTGTTTACGCGTACACCCACATGTTTACTCGAACTATACACTAGCAAATCAAATCCTCGCGTTGAGCGGGCTCGGCCTCGCATCTCCAGCGGTATTGAAATCGGTCGCGCAATAATGTCGAGAAAATGGCGCGAAACGCTTCATTGAACGTTTGGCGGGAAACTATTGCGTAATATTTGTGAAAGTAATTTAACGTTGTTTGAATCGGATAAGCGGGTTTTTTTTATTAGATTATGGAAAGCTACGTACGTCGTGAATAATGTTTGCTTGGTCGTTGCGTGTGTTTGTTTTAAATTTTGAGGTTAGTGTTGTTTGACCACGGTTGATCAAATTCCAGTTTATTATTATTGAATAAAACTGTTTTACTATTGTGTAGAATATTGAATATACAACTTCCACGTGTTGGAAATTTTGGCGGGAAACCTATGCTATAAGCCGCGTGGTCACCAGTCGGCCTTGGAGCTCGTGACGTCATTGACATAGTTCCCGACTGCGAGAACAATGTGTTTAAAGAAATCATTCACCTGATTACTTACTCTGTTTACTTCTTTTTGACCATTTTCAAGTCATCATTAGTCGTAGGAAATATTATTTTATTAGTCGATTCTTTATAGTAATTAGTAATTACAGAACTTCTTACGCCTAGTTTCTTTTAGAATAACACGACAGAAATTTTGCATGATTTAAAATAATCGCAATATTTTACAATAAATGATGTCATTAAAATTAAAAGTTAACAAATTATTTGAAATTGTTTTATCTGCAGTTAAATCTATCGTAATTACGTCATCGGCTTTGATAGGCATATGTATATCTCTTATCAACAGTTTATTAGCAGTTAACAATTTGGTAACTTTTATCAATTCTCTAAATAAATGTTGCTATTACCTAATTGAAACCACGTGGTACATTCAGACGAAAGCCATCTTTTGACCTTCAGTCGTCGCGTGTTGCCATGCCGTTTTTGTAACTCCGATCATATTACTCTAAGCTTGTTTATTGTAACCAACTTGCCTAATTAACATAAATACCGCCAACCCATCATAATGAAGCTTTAATGGATTCTATTTGTTTTATACTTAGTAGCATCTATCTTTTCTATCGATCAACTTTTTGTCGTGCGTTATGAAAATTGTGACTGTATGGCGACAGGGTGCCGAGTTGTTTTGCTTTTCCCGAAATGTTATTCTCGCAATAATTATTATAACAATTGCATGATAAAGCAAACATAAATGTGTACACTGAGGTTCAATGCCTCGCACAACTCCGACGCACGCACTATCTAATCACTGCTCGTGAACTTTGAAGTTTACACGCCACTTTGTAACGTCTGCCGATCCCGCACTGTACACACTGCCTTACTTTTGTAACGCAGATTAAACAGTAGTAAAAAGATCATAAAATTTTTAAAGTTATTAAGGTTATACTTTAAAATTTGAAATGGCTACAAGGGCGTCACCAGAATTTGTTTTGAAAAGAATCCGGTGCATTAAGAACTCCAAAGGGTCTCTTTTACGGTGTTATCCTTACGGATAGAGTCGTAAAAATGTCAGCTTCAAGGGACTCGAGCAGGCAGCCGTGTCTCAACGAATTTAAAGTTTTGAGATCGTAAAGTTTGCTCTAAAATTGGGTCCAACTCCGCCCTCGATATGGTTTTACGAGCACTTAAGCATAAGTCACCCTATCGGAGCTATGATAGAAATGGGATATGTAAATTTCACTTTTAACGTTTTTTAAATTGATATTATAACCTTCTCAAGCCATCTGTTATTTGATCAAGCTATCTAACACTACACATTTATCAACAATAACTTTTTTAGAGTCTAAGACCAATAAGTATAATATAAAACTAATCTTATACGTTTCATCTTCCAGATTTCCTGAAACCCCGCAAGCGGTTACCCACTAGTGGGAAGAAGTCGCCCGCCCACAAACACAAGCACGAGTGCGGGCACGGCGCCCACATCCGCCCGCCCAAGGTGGCGCGGCTCGCGCAGGCGCACTACAAGCGAGCCAGCTAAGCGCCCGGCGCGGCCGTGAATACCTCTGAAGCACACTTGGTAGCTAGTGAGAGACTTCATCGTGTTAATCATGGCGTGTTATTCGAGCGGCCATCGTGCGGGCTCGAAAGGCAATATCGAAAATTAAATATATAACTCTTAATTTATTCTTATATACCGGCTCGTGTCCGAACAAGGTAACGTTAAGTAATTTGTAAGACGTGTTGGATGTAGATTAGTATTGTATTTACGAGTAGATTCTAGACCCGGTTCGACATCACAGTTGTTCGTAATTATGTTCCGGGCGTATATTTATAATATGACAATTAATTGTAAGCCTATTATGATCTCTTTAGGTTTCTTAGGTTAGCTATATGTAAGGTATCAGGATGTAATATTGCAAGTTAGCTTAGTCCCCTGTACAGTAGTCGGTCACAATCGCAAACGCCTGGGAACGCCGCCACAGATACTGAAAATGAAATTTTTGGTACCTGTGGAAGCGGTTTCGATGCGTTTCATTCAAAACATTATAACGGCTTTAGTGTTTTTTTTTCAATTTACAATTTAGATATAACAAAAATACAAATACTCAAACGTCAGTCGTTACTCTCCGTAGCGTTTGTTTTGCCAATTTTGTGGAAACGTAATAAATATTCCAATTGTTCTTCTTAACACATTGAGTATTTGTGTTTAGCGTTCAGTGACGTCACTGTAACGCGTTAGCGTATTTGTTTTGTTGTTTTATTTTAATGGATTATATTTGTATATGATTTATTGAAGTTTTTAATTGGATGTCTAACTTGTGTGGGTTGTGGGGGGCCTCCCTGCGACGAGCGACCCTTTGTTCAAGTACAAATTATTTTCATTTTGTTTAGGTTTAAGGGTCGCGGGGAAATGTTTAAAAGACACTCATTTTCATTTCATAGCAGCGATGGATGTTTGCGGAACGAATTGCACGATTAATCGATTCTTATATATAGTGATTTTAATTTACAACACTACATACAAAACTTAATATACAGCTTATTCGATTTGTTTGAATATTTTAAGATTGATTACATTCGTTCTCGCAATCGTTCATCTCTAAGTAACAATCATAGAGGTAGAGAATGAATTGAACAATACTGTCATGAAATTGACAAAGAGAGAAAGCGAACGTGCGGTCTTTTATTCCAATTTGAATTTATAAATGAATACCTATGAAGAAAAATAAGGTGAAAATTATAATATTGTAATGGAATGTAAAATGGTTATACATAGTGCGGACCATCGTGTGTTAATTACCTCCAATATTAGTAACTAGCGATTAACTTCACACTTCTAGCCGCACAATCGTTTTGTCTCTGTCGCGTTTTTCCGCCATTTTTAAATGACGGCTGGCAAAAAAACACTCAGTCCACTCTCTATGTCTATGGTAACAATATATTCATTTGGTAGGTTTTAACGTTTTAAGTTCAACTGCCAAAGTTTACACGCAGTAGGTCTGACCGAGACTTGACTATGATATCAAATATAAATGAATTAATATAACAGCTGAAACAAGCTTTGTCTTATTTTCAAATTATGTGTTGTGGAATTATGACGATACTCGATTTATGAATTTGTGTTTACGTGTGGTCTTTGAAACAGACGCTTGGATTTTTTTTAAATGTGCAAAAAATTTTCTAACAATTATTCTCTTAAACGTATTTATGTTGATTGAAGCTATTGATATTACTATTTTGTCAGAAATTTTATTCTGATAGTTCAGTATGGTGATTGGTGTTACTTTTGACTGTCATTCACCATTTATTTTAAAAACCTTTGGTACATAATCACTTATTATTGTTCAACATGATCTAAATGTTTGTTCAAAATAATATATTTTGAACCGATATTTTATATGAGCTATTTGTTTCTAAGATTACGCAATGTTGATATTGGATGTGAACGATTTCGAACGATTCACTGATTGTATGTATCAGTTATCGATTTTGAACATTATTTCAGAAATTTAAAGTTCAAAATAATTAAACCACACTTAATAAAGTGTTATTATTCTGCTTAATTCAAAAGTTAACTTTTTTATTTTTCTAGAATTATACATGGATCCATTATTGAGGTATAGCCAATTTAATTAAAAAAAAATCGAAATACTTTCCAAATTGATATTGAAACATTGTTCAGATTCGTCCACGTCTCATATATTTTTTTGTTTATAAATTCTATATATTATGTAAAACATGCCGAAGGAAAATATAATAATAACCCCACAGTAGTTCTTCGAAATAGAAATTAGTTTGAATAATTTTAATTTAATATATTCTTTTAACACCTGTGATGTATTAAATATGATCTCAGAACATAATTTAACTGTTTTCAATGTTCATTTATATAATAATAGTGTTAGTTACTGGACTTGAGAGCTAAAGCGACGTAACTACAAACGAAGCCCCGGCTTTCGAATGAGATATTTTAATACATCCAATATAATTTTATTATTTGTTATATACATATATTTCTTAAGTCGAATTTACATTGCGAAATTAGTTTTTTAACAAAAAATATATATATTATAAGTGATCTCGTAATGTAAATTCGGTTTCATGATATGCGTGTCCGCGTCCAATGTACATACGCACTCCTGTTCGAGCTCCGAATGTAAATTGCAAAATTTCCTGTGTTCGTATGAAAATATTAAATATTACTAGTGTTGCCAGATGCGATACGTATTTAATATTATAAAAATTAGGTCGTAAAGGAATTAATACAATATTTAATTTATTTAGAATTATTGGATCCGTTCTAAAATATATATATTTTACTTTATTACATATGGCAACATTAATAATGAAATATATTAATTAATATTTGTTATGATAAAGAGCGATTAATTTAAGTGAAACAGTTGACATTGTGAGTGGTGGAGTCAGATATGTGAGTCGTCCGCCAGTCGATAGTCGGGACGGTAATCCAATTATGTTTAATGACCTTTATTAGTTTAAAAAAAAGCTTATTTCATACGGTATTTGTTGTTTTCTTTATCCTCCATTACCTTAGATCTAAGAAGTGTCGGCAAGTAAAAAGCTGCAAATGGTTTGTATGAAAAATTGCGAAAGGCTCCTTCCTTCAATTTTCTATTTCGTCAATCGTGAAGAAAAATATTTTTTTTTATATACATACTTAACTAGTAGTGGTATTATTTTTAATGATGGTCATAATTTTTTTCTTTTATAAATAAAAGAGGTACCAGCTACATATCATATTTTACTACTTTCATATAGGTATAAGACATTATAATAAAGGCAAAAGTTTATAAATAAGGTTAGAAAAATTTGCAAATGTTCTGAAAAAAATAATAATAAAATAATGTAATTTAAAATGACATATTTTAACAAAAAATATATAGATCTGTATAATTATTGCACCGAAATGAGTAATAATTATATTTTGTACTGGGTCTGCCTTTTAACTGGACGCGGGTTCGATCCCGGACTGCGTTACTTTGTTCTTTGCAAAAGCAACGACAGGGAAATGAATATAGATATTTTAATTGTAAGTATTATACAACCTCAAATATGAAGTTCTAACACCAGATCTAACAGAATTCAAGACTTGTCTCTAATTTCTTAACATTCAATCAAAACCTTGGATTAGCATATACCTACTGCCGCGCCGTGGCTTGGCCACGCATAGGCCATGCGTGACGCAAGCAAAGCCGTATCACGTGCATTCAGTATTAATTATAGTTAAAAGGAGCAATTAAAACACTGTTTGGATGCTCGTATGAAAATGTTTATTGATATCACAATCAAGTCTACACAACTACCGATACCCATATATTCGTGTACACGGCGCAGAGATGGCACGCGACACGTGACACGTCGCTTTAGTCTAAACATTCGATACAAAAACTGACTAATTACAATCTTGAAATGCAAAAAATCCTGTGGCGTGCTATTAATTTAGTAACTCCTAACCGAGACAGATACTACGTGTCGCAACTCGTGGGAAAGTAACATCTACCCAAATCGAAAGGGCCTACAGTTAATACAAATATCACGTGAAATAAATCGACAAAATTCAGAAAACAGAGAAAGTTGTTTTTATAAAATATTACAAACAATTTTAATTATAAAAAGAAAGCATTACGTATCGAGATTGCGGCAAATGAGAAGTTATTGTCTTATAACACTTCCGAAATCCGAACCAACAGGCGATAAACACGAAACATTTATATAAGTATTACATGGAGACCTCGCACAAACGCCGAGGACCGGCAATAAATATAGTAGCTAATTATATATGTACATTACATTAGTAGAGTTACACTTAGGCACATTCAATTGTTATAAAATTACGATTTAATTCGAAAACGTGATCCTGTCACCGATATTCAACTATGCTACCACAAATCTAATACATTTAAGTGATTAACTTATCAGTGTGAGGTTAGGTTTTACAAATTTAAAAATTATATTAAACTCAGGGCCGAATTAACTATATCGGGGGCCCCTAGGCAATGCAATTCTTAGGGCCCCTTCATCTTTTTCTAACTATAAGATAGAATTTTTTCTATCACAATGCAATTATATTCGTAATTACGCTATTTAGGTTAGATTTCATAGAAATTTTCAAACATTTTCAAAAAAAAATCTTGATAATGAGGGCCCTAGCCGATGCGGGCCCCTAGGCAGTCGCCTAAACTGCCTTATGGATAATCCGACCCTGATTTAAACTCCTTAGGTATATCACTGAAACGATGCAATTTAAAGTTATCTAAGACATTCATTTAACGTATGAAACGAATTTACGACTTCTTTCTCTTATATAATACTAGGTATATAAGAAAAGAGCTCAAAGCATCCGAGGTTGGGGGTCGTTTGATAAATTTGTACTTTAAATCCCCCTTCGCCTCGACCGGTGATAGTCCGTAGCGTACGAATTACTTTATTATATTTGTGTTTCAAGATATATTTAAATTACTCCTAATTTGGTCGTAGACCTACATTACTGAATCTATTCTAGTATAAATAGGT